GTGAACAAAAATATCTTCTATCGAAAAAACAATTTGCCGTGTGACCTTTCACATGAATGAGACTCACGTATCTTTCATGCATTTGGTGCATTGCTGCATTACCATTTAGTTGAATATGTAAAATTCAGTTTGTTTGATATTCAATTTTTTTTATCATACTATTTGCAGGTTTTATTGGAATTTAAGGAGTATGCTACTGAAGTTGATGTTGATTTTGTAAGAAAGGCTGTTCGAGCAATTGGTCGATGTGCCATCAAATTGGAGAGAGCTGCTGAACGATGCATTAGTGTTTTGCTTGACTTGATCAAGATAAAAGTAAATTACGTGGTTCAAGAGGCAATCATTGTTATCAAAGATATATTTAGAAGATATCCCAACACGTAATATTATAATATACTTATTATCTACATTTATTCTATGTGGAGAAGATAACACATGCAGAGATTACTATCACACTTTAAAACTTTGATTGAATATTTGTACTGCTTTGTAGTTATGAGTCCATAATTGCAACGCTTTGTGAGAGCTTAGACACCTTGGATGAACCAGAAGCAAAGGTACATATTTCTCTGAATTCCTTTGTAACTGTCATTGTGCTCTAGCATGTCTGCTTTACATTGATATCTTTTCATGAGCTGATAGGCATCAATGATCTGGATAATTGGTGAATATGCGGAAAGAATTGACAATGCTGATGAACTTCTCGAAAGTTTCTTGGAAAGTTTTCCAGAAGAACCTGCACAAGTCCAACTACAGTTGCTGACTGCTACTGTCAAACTTTTCCTTAAAAAGCCTACTGAAGGACCACAACAGATGATTCAGGTCGTTCCTCAAAATGTTTGTTTTATTCATATAGATATGGTTAATATGACTATATGAAATGTTTTGATATTTCACGTTGGACTATTCTTATGCTAAGTATGCAAATATATTCTTCTGCCCTCTTTTATTGAGTGGCATATCTCAGCAATTTATAATTTTGGTATCAATTGTCAGATATAATAAATAATTGTTTGTATTCCTTGCCTTTAGCCACTTTATTATCTTTCTACTACAATGTCTACAACACAATCAGTGTTGGTAGTTTTATTTTGTAAATGTTTAGAGATGGATAACTTGTCTGCAATTTCTACATTATTTGTTTAATCCCTTGTTCAAATCCCAGATTAGCTTATCCCCATATAATGACTTGTGCTAGCCTTTTTATTTAGCATTTAGTTTTTAGATGTACCCAATCCATTCTCAATTCTAATTTGATATTGACGGGCAAACTACCCAATTGACTTGGAGCAACCCTCCCTCTCAAGCTAGCTTTATGGATTTTGACCCAGTCTATTCTCAATTCAACTATTCTTGAGAAGAGAATTCCTTTTGTAATTGAAGAATGCGAGTTTGAGATTATGTTTGAAAATTTTCCAAAATTTATTGATTTTAGAAGACAAATCTGCCAATCTTTCTTTAGTTGTCTTGATTAGACTAAAAACTTCTCCCTTTAGTATGATCTTGAGACTTGTATGCTAAGTTTCACTAAACTCTGTATCTTTACAGGTTGTTCTGAACAATGCCACTGTGGAGACAGATAATCCTGATTTACGAGATCGTGCATACATATATTGGCGTCTCCTTTCAACTGATCCTGAGGTTTTTATTTCTTGAACTTGAATCCAGCTAGTTTGTTTGCAATGATGTATAGTAAGGTCAATAGTTGAGCTCCATATTCAGCTGAAGGTTTAGTCACCATAATCACTAACTATTTATGGCATACTGCTAAATTTGTGCTATCATTCTGTGCAACATACTATTATACAGATATGGTGTATTGGTTTGTATCTAACCAAATTGAAATAATAGGTTTTTTACACGTTTTTTCTTAATTTCTTTGGACCGGTATAGAGCTCTACATTTGATGTTATCTAATCTGTTTTCTTCAGGCTGCTAAGGATGTTGTGTTAGCTGAGAAGCCTGTGATAACTGATGATTCAAACCAACTTGAGCCGACTCTACTTGACGAGCTTCTTGCTAACATTGCTACACTATCTTCTGTTTATCACAAGCCTCCAGATGCTTTTGTAACTCGTGTACTTTCTTCAGCTCAGAGAACAGAAGACGAAGACTATGTCGAGGGAAGTGAAACAGGGTTTCCTGAGTCACAGGCAAATCCTGCTAATGGCCCTGCATCACCACCTAGTGGTAGGAAATTAGCGCCTGCATCTGCAACAGGTGCACCTGCCACACCTCCATCTGTTGCACCTGTGCCAGATTTACTTGGTGATTTGATGGTCATGGATAATTCTATTGTTCCTGTTGATCAGCCACCTACTCCTACTGGGTGAGTGCGTCTGGCATCATTAGCATATTTGTTTGCAATCTAGTCTGATAAGTTATGTATTTGACAAGCATTGCATATAATTTGTTGTATGATTAACATAATGTTACTTTTCGTATAGAAATGTGATTAATGATAAACTATGCTTTTCTGATATATTAAACATTAAAAAATCTAAATAGTGTAACATGAGTTCAGTCAGTCATCAACATCCTGAGATTTTCATGACACCTTAATTAACTCTGCTTGTGGAATCATGCCTAATTAGAACTCATGCATTGATTGCAGGCCTCCACTACCTATTTTACTACCTGCGTCAACTGGTCAGGGTTTACAAATTAGTGCACAACTGACTAGACAAGATAGTCAAATATATTATAGTTTGTTGTTTGAGAACAGTTCTCAGGTTCCACTCGATGGTTTCATGATTCAATTTAACAAGAACACATTTGGTCTTGCAGCTGCTGGACCCCTACAGGTTTGTTATTTTGCATATATGGCTTTTATTTCAATATTTCTGTCAACTTAAGTTCTAATAGATTATCCTTTCGTTCAGGTTCCACAGCTGCAACCTGGAATGTCAGCTAGGACACACCTCCCTATGGTTACATTCCAGAATATGTCGCAAGGTCCTCCTAGCTCACTTTTACAGGTTGCTGTGAAAAACAATCAACAACCTGTGTGGTATTTCAATGATAAATTCTACTTACATGTATTCTTTACTGAGGACGGTAGAATGGAACGTTCCAGTTTTCTAGAGGTATATCTTTCTCCCACTTGTTTAATCCTTTGACGTAACTGCAATAGATTTGCAATTCATAATTCTTTGAGTTGTGATGCATAAAACTTTCAAATTTTATTGTATAGTTGCATGGACTTGGTCAGTTTAGTTATCTACGTTATAAAGAAGTCCGTGTACATTAGTGAAACCTTAGATAATTGTCAGTTCTGTTATGAGTGTATAGAAATGGAGAATCTGATTGTTAACTGTGCTGCAGACATGGAGGTCCCTTCCTGATTCAAACGAGGTTTCCAAGGACTTCCCAGCCATTGTGATTGGCAGTGTAGAAGCAACTCTGGAACGACTGTCTGCGTCAAACATGTTCTTTATTGCAAAGCGCAAGAATGCTAACCAGGACGTGTTTTACTTGTCGGCTAAACTCCCTAGAGGGATACCATTCTTAATTGAACTTACCACAGTGATTGGAAACCCTGGCGTCAAATGTGCAATCAAGTCTCCAAGCCCTGAAATGTCAGCACTTTTCTTCGAAGCTATTGAGACTCTTCTCATGGGTTAATGGGTTTTTAATTTTTTCTTTTTTTTCTTCTTTTAATTTTGTTTATATTGTTTTTTGTTAGCATATTTGATAAATATCTTGGACAGGTGTGTTATATCTTATTTGGAAAGAAAAATTCCACTGACACTTTTTGTTGTCCCTGGCTGTATTTCACTACTGCCATTTTTGCCGTTATTAGCACCATGGATGCTGTTGCTTTTGTTCGACGGCTTGCAGTGTTGCATTCTGTGTAAAGCGATTAAATTATGATGCTTTTAGTTTTTTCTAGGATTTCCATTTTAGATTTTCATTGGAGATACGAGCAGTAAATAGGGGAGGGGGAGTAGGGGATGTTAAAAGTTGATTCGTGGCAATAGAGCCATTTATTCTAGAGATTGATTCTGGTTTTGTATGACAGTTATACTAGTACTCTACTATTTCGAGAACTCTATGAATGACTAAGTAAAAATTGTATGTATATATCGCATTATTTGTTTTGGTGAAAAATCTGCTAAGCAATTTCAGTAAATAATTGCATAAGAGATGTGTGATTACCAAGATAAATTGCGAGCAATATGGCCAACCAAGAACATGGCTGAACACCAGAATATTCCACCAACTTGCTAAAGCAATGATGCAGGTGCCGGGTTTCATTGCGTGGGGTTCTCATATTTTCATCTCATGGTTAGACTTCCACATGCTATGAATAATGGGAATCGACTTTTAATGCTTTGTCTACAGTTTTCCAATATGTTCTTAAGGTCCAAACCATGCTGTTCATGGTAAATAAGTTAATTTAGGCTGTGCTTTTGTTTTTCCATTTAAATCTCCATCTAATATTATGTTGCTTTAAATAAGTTTTTGTATCTTAAATATATAATCGATGTTTGTTGAGTATATATAATAAACTAAACCAAAGACATATGTTGAGTACTCCAATATATATATATATATATATATATTAAATTAGGTATTTAATAAATTAAACATTTTAGTTTAAGTTTCTTTTGTTATTTTACTTGAGTCAATTATACCACTAATGTATCTCTTAAGTTATTTCTTGTATCATGATCATGAGTGTTAAACAATGATAATGTTAAGTTATTTCTACTAATGATAAGATATATTATCATATGATATATCAATTATTAAGATAAAAAAACATTAAAGGATGAAAGAAAAAATCTAAAAATATTTAACTTAAAAATAAATAAATAAAATATTTCATTAGAGATTTAATAAATATTTAATTTAGTAAATATTCAATTTAAAAAATTATTAAATACTAAAAAGAAAAGCCAATCATACAACGAAGATCTAATAATTATTTAAATTTTTGTTTCAGAAGTACAACTGCATCGAAAATTATGTGTATTTTAAAACAAATATACACTCAATCATTCACCTAAGTTGTTGCATAAAAATATCTATCATTGGACAAAAATACTTAGTAATACTGTAAACCTTTGTAAATAGAATAACTAGCATTAGTAAAACTCTATAAATAAAAACGTGTTTTTATATACATGTACACTCATTTTATGCTTTCTTCACATACGCATGTTTACCTTTCTAAACGTATATAAAAAAAATCTCTCTAACTTTTCATAAACAGGACAACACCTGCACCGTATATGACTAAGCTAAAGCATATACTTTTTAGTCTCTTTACACACAAATTATTATTTTATAAATATTTGGAAGGAGAGATCTTATATATATCTGACAAGTTAATGCATACAAAAAATTTACAATTTTTTATAACTACATGAAAGAATATATTTGTGCAAGATGCAATAAATATACCTTGACAGAAATTATGTAAGCATTTGAACTATTACACTCATCAAAGATTTGCACTGCTATAAAGTTACACCTTTTGGGCTAATAAAATTCAATAATATTAAATTTTATAATTGATAACTAAATGTTAAAACTAAGATTAGTATATAATAAATAATAAATAGATTACACACGCAAAATTCATAATGTTATTTTCATAAATATATGGAAGAATTTATTAAATCTTTTAAATATAGGAAAACTCAATTGCAAAAAGAAGACTATTATAAAATAATAAATAAACAAAATATATTCAAATGTATCTTTTATAGAAAAATACCTTTAATTGCAAGTGAAACAGGTTTAAAGTTAGTTTAACTGTGTAGTTAAGGAGAAGATGTAAATATATATTCTTTGCATAGATCCAACCGGCAACACACATGTTCAGGTCATTAAAATATCTCGTGATATTACAAATTTGATGTAATCTCTTTGTTTGTGTATATATAAGCTTTCTGATAGTACAACATATTTACACACCTCAAAAAACCAAATAATTTTCAGATTTCCCTTTCATTTGCTTGTTGTCATATAAGCAGATTGATAGCAGTAATAAAAAATACAAAAAGCAAAAGAAAAATAACAAGCAACCATGTTTTCTTTTGCATGCCAAAATAAAAACTCTCCCATCTCAAAGAAATCCCAAGAACCAGTCAACCAAGCTTCTCTAACAGCAATTTCATTGGTCTGAATCTCAAATCTGATTGCATGTTGGTATAAGATGCACAAAGAAGAAACACATCACCAAACTTGATCTCATTCAATGAGCCAAACTGCAATGCAAATTGTAGCCATGGACTAAATAAAATTGAACATTGTTTTTCTTATTGCCTACTTGACCGGCCAGCTTCAGAATCTCTGTAAAACGAGTTACCAAATGATCTCGAAACATCTTTCCAGTGTCTCCTATTGTCAGTTTGGTCCATGACATTATTTCTAGTCATGCTATTTCCTTGGCGTTTCTTTTGAGAATTTCTCATTTCTTCTTCAGAATCAAACTGTGATCGCTGCAAAAAGGAATAATGAAGAAATAAACACTCTCAAAAAAGTCGTTACAGTTACAGTAGCCAGTAGGATGAAAATACAGAAAATACCTTGGCAGGATCTGACAGGACTGCATATGCCTCTCCAATTATTTTGAAAAGCCTGTCGGCATCTTTGCATACTCCTTCAACAATATCCTTCCATATCTGATCATCTCCAATGTCACTTCTTGCCAAAGATTGGACAGCCTAAATAATATAAAAATAGTTAAAAATGATTTTTTATGTATGAGGAATTAACAAAGAGAAGAGACTAATCAAACAACCTTGTCAGGGTGATGTCTAAGTGCGGCTTTGTGATAGGCCTTCTTGATTTCAGATGATGAAACAGAATGTTCAACTCCTCTGCCATCACAATCTGAATCAGCAGATGCCATAAATGATTGATAATATCGGCATAAATTAGCAACAGAAAAGGCTCTCTAATGACAGCATGATAGTTCTGTCACACATTAAACACCACTTGCACAAAGTGTGACTTGAAAGCCTAAGATGAATATTGTTCAATTTATGAACCTAGACATTGAGTTTATGAAACTCTGAATCTCTGAAGTTCTGGGACTAATGAAGTAAGATTTCCCTACATGTACAAAAACTCTGACACTTCTATTCTCACAAACATATGATTTTGAATCAATAGAATAGAATGGGGTTATACTGATTAAGATAGTAAGTAATGGAAATAAGTACTAATTATTAGTAAAAGAGCTTACAAAATGAGGTACACATCAAGAGGTATCCCCCTTTTGGCTTCCTCCTCTATTTCCGAAAGCCAAATTTGGTGAAGTTTCAAATCATTGGCATAGTTGATTGATCTATCAGATATGCCATGCTGATTACTATTATCCCCATCCTCTTGAATGAAAACAGAGAGAACTCTCCTTATATCGCTTGCTGTTTGGTCATAATCTCTGATCATCTCATATAAAGTTGCACGTCTGGAAAGTGCCTGGAAGAGTATAAATACATATCCTCATAAATCATTTTAACAAATGTGAAGATGAAGAACTAATAGAATCATGTAAAAGACGAATATTTGAAAAATGCTAAAAATGGAATATTACAGTATACAAGGAAGGTTGGGGAAGCTTTCTTTCATTTTTGAAAAGCAAATGTGACTTACATAACTGATGAGAAAGCAGTATCATAAAAAGTGACAAGTTTGTGAGGACCTTTTCATTTTTGGTTCAAGGTTAACCCTTTGGTAGTTTTATCCTATGTTAATTCCTCTCTCTCTATGTGGCAACAATCTCTGATCTAAACAAAAATTGTTACAGTTGAAGAGAGAGAACCTTCAAGTATCTTCCATCAAGAGCTATAGCCAGATTGCAATCTGCTATGGCATCAGTAATTTGACCTAATGCTTTATGTGCAGCTGCACGGTTACCAAAGCAGACAGCTGTAAATGGGCGAGACTCCACATTACTTGATAAAGCAGCTGTATAATGTTCGACAGCTTCCTCGATCTTTCCTGCCTGAAATGCTTCATTCCCTGCAGTCTACGGATGAATACATTTCCATTAGTCCATTTCAAGAAATTTTCATGTTACAGTAAAAGGACAAAACTAACCAACCACTGAAGAAAGTGTTTTGAAGATAACAATTTAGCATTATAGCTTATTGGTATGTTTGCTTGACTTCTTTTTTTTTAAGAAAAAATGCATGCTTATTTTAATAGAATAATAACTTATTATAATTTTTAACATATTTGAGTATATTTATTTAAAAAACCAGAAAAAAATGTAGATTTTTGCTTTTTAGAAGCAATTTAGAGTATTAAACAATAAATTACTTAGAAGTAAATCACTTTTTAACTCTTTTTTTTTCAATATAAACAAACAGATTCTATAAATGATTTCTTGTGTCCTTTATAACAAAAGGAAAAAGTTGTATTGGAGAAGAGTAGAGAAGCAAAAGTTATCTTGTTATTTCCCTGACACTCGTGAGTTATGACAGTTCCATGTTAACCAAACAAGATTGGTGGTATACAAAACTCATCTAAATGATATCACGAAACGCAGTATAAGCTAACCTTATGATGCAAGAGCTCACGTACAGTTACAGCTAGTGGTATTAGTGACTCCAAAACCTTGCTTCCACTCCTGCAGGGACATTATCAAAGCTGATGTCCATATTAAAAATAGGTATCACCATCAACGTATGTCCATCTTTTGTTTCCTTTTTAATGTACTTTTGAGGATAGGCCGTAGGAGGGAAGATGGTTCAGTTGTTAATGATACTTACTTGTTTATGGCTGATACCTTGTCCTCTTGTTCCTGCAGCAAATAAAGGCCCTCTTCAAGTTTTCCTAGGTGAAAGTAAGATTTAAGCATCAGTGAGCACCTCCAAAGCCTGAAATAGAAGCCTTTTGAAAGCTGTGCACTGTCCAGATCTATCACTTCGCAATCGGCACCCAAAGGATATGAATTCTTCTCAGCGGAACTAAAGGTTTCATCACACAGCTGAATCACTTCCTCATATCTACATAGCTGATATTTAAAGCAAAAGTTATCCAACACAAGATCAACTGCACAAACAGCTTAACGCTGACTTTGACAGCTTTAGTAAAATGCCAGCATATTATAAGACAGAGATGCAGACCATAAAAAGAGCCTCTGCTTTCATTTCAAGCACTTTTTCAGAGCATGAACTTATCACCAATGCCTCATTTATATGTTCCAATGCTTTTTCTGCATCAGCAGCTGTTCTTCCTTGCAAAAGTTCATCGGAATGATTGATTAATTCCGATACTTTCTGCCATCCATTAAGGATACTTATCAGTTCAGGAAGAGAGAGATGAAAAAGAAAAGCTAATGATCAAGGCCATCCACAATCAAAATAACTACGAACTGTCACACCTGTGTCTTTTGCAAAAGATCAGAGGCTTCCGCAGCAATTTTTTTATCTACACAAACATCAGTGCTTGACTGCGTGCATCTCCTGAAATACTTGGATGCATCTCCAAGTTCCCCCAAAGCAAGGAAACAACTAAAAAATAATGAAATGAAACGAACTCAGGGATACATCATCTATTTTGATTATTAAATATTGAGCATTTTAGTTGACAAGTACAATGTGTTTAAACACACCAACATGCGTTTTATACAACAAATCAGCATAAGACAACGCTTGAAATATCAGAGATCCATTACAGACTAAATAGAACATTTAAACCAAGTCAACACGAAATTTTTATGAAACTTTTCACTAGAGCCAGAAGATCTCCAACATAAGGCTATAAAAACTAAAATATATGATCTCTACAATGTAATGGTTGGAATACAAGAACTAGGTAAAAGCACCATTTTGCATATTTTCGGATTTTATCTTTCCAATAATATAGCAACTAAGATTTCCTATTACAAGGTAATGGCTTTACCCCAAGCCTTAATTACAGCTTATAGTGGTACTCATTGAAAGCTTACCAACGAAAAACAAGTTGTAGGAAGAATAGATAGCCCTCCTTGACATGGAGCCCTATTTAAACAGATTGTGTGATGCAATAAAATCCTACATTCAAAGCTTAGGTTTGTTTTCCTCTTCTCAGGTTGTTTTTCTGTTTCTTGACCTTTTCTATGCCTGCTCTTATCTAATGATTTCCTTCGGCACACATCATTAATATTTACATAGTCAAAACCTTAGTTGATACTTCCTTCAATTAACCCTATAATAATGAATACAACATCAATCCAGAGCCACTTCTCAGCATGCAAACAGATACCAATTACCTATTGCCTGTAAATCACCAATACCATCCATCAACTATACCATCACAATCCACCTGTTTTCTACTCTAGATTCACGCAATAAAACACTGCTTTTAAAATATGATATTAATGGTTTATCTTACGTGTTCCTTTGTCCGAAATTAAAATTAATTTCATTAAACTTAAATCTCTATCCACATAGATTAGAATCAAAATGGGACCTTACTTTGCGGCTCTAAGTAGCACCTTGAGGAAATTTGGATCAATTTCTGAAGCCAGCATACAATCTTCTATCGCATCTCTCATCCTACCAAGAGACATGCGTGTGGCAGCACGGTTGCTATAGCAAAGCATCAATGCCCTGCAACATCTCTCAGATGCATCTTCTTTAGAAGCACAGTTTACTCCTTGCGTGTAACAATCCTCAGCTACAGATAAATTCCCATTTTTATAGGCTTGGTTTCCTCTGTCACAAAGCATATCCAGTATGGTGAGTACTCCATCAAAATGAAAGTAACCACTTAAACGTATTGTTTGCTTGGATCATGCAAGTCCCGTTTTCCTGAGTGTTCACTCTAATAAAATATATTGTAAAACTAAGTACATCATAATCAAGTGATTGCAAATGTAGTAAGCAAACTAATAAAATATATACACACTAACTTGAGTCTCCACTTTTCACAGATGTCTTCAGCTGTCATGGTTGATGCAGAAATTGTAGCAAGTTCCTCCTTTATCCCTTGCACCTTATTCACCTCAGAACCCCTTGTTTTGGGATGAAGAGAAGATGCTTTAGCTTTCTGGCCTCGCTCTAGTGTGAAAGGAGAGGAAGTTCCAGAAAATGGAGAACCAGTCACAGATGATAACGAATTGGGACTGGAGTTGTAAGTATCAAGATAACTATGGCCAACTTTTACCCAATTTATCTTTTTGGGATAGCGTTTCTGGCTATGGGATTGCACTTCAGCAGAAAACGTGAACCCAAACCCACTCGTATTTCTTGAACCGGAATCACGACCAACATGGGCCATGCCATCACCATCATTTGTTATGTCCACTTCATCATTTGCAGACTTCGAGCTTCCATTTTCAATTTCATCATCACCAAAATTAGTATCTAAATCTTCACACTCTGAAGCATCTTCTTTTGTTTCTGTACTTACAACTTCACTATCATTCTTATTCAAAAACTGATGAATGGGTGATGTGTTGCCAATCCCATCCACACCAAAACCAAATGACTCATTGGATGTCACATAGTTTTTTTGTGACATATCCATCTTTGCCTTCCAAATAAAGTCATGTCCCTGGAAAGGGGTGGAAAACTTCTCTTTTTCCCTACTTTTGTTCATCCTAGGGGTGCCACTTCGTTCCTTTTTTGCACTGAATTTGAATTTATCACGAGCATCACCGTAAAAGATATTAGTTTTGAGTGGTGGTGTCTTAAACTCAGGGAACGATGACCCTGAAGAATTGTGTTGTTTGGATGTGAACACAAATCCATCATCCCTTTGGTCTTTGCTCTCTTCAATTTTCGAGTTGGTGATATCCTCCGAACCCAGGTTCAGTTTTTTTTCCATTTCCAAAAACCGTCTTCTGTAAGTATCACAATTACAGTTTCATTTCCAAATTTGAAACGATTGAAAAGTGGCGAAGCGAATCTCATAGTTCCATGGCGCCTGAAATCCGCGGAGAGGGGATCGGGACTCACACCGGCGTGGTCATCGGAGCTCCGGCGAGGGTCAAATCGTAGGCACTATTAACTCTGCTCATTTACCTTAATCAGAATTTTTGGTGGCAATCATTCACAAGAAGAATGAATGAAAAATGTTAACAGGAATATTTGCTAACAACCGTAACCGTCACAAAGAAGATGGAAAGACCAAAAGTAGAAATTTTTTGAACGTATGTTCCGATGTTGTTCAACCATAAATCATTAATAATATAATAAATATCCTAAAACTGTTAACCTAAAAATAAGTACTTTGTGTTTGTCTATTAACTTCGGATATTAATTATCTGTAATGAGACGTGAATTTATTAATAAAATGTAAGGAAGTTGAAAATTAATACAATAGTGTAATAATTTATAACAGTTGATCATACAAAAATATATAAAAAAGAGTTTATATATAAATTAAATGAGAATTTTTAATTATATGATAATATTTTTCTATATTAATAGAGATTAAACTAAAAATATTAAAAGAATATAAACATGATTTTCAAATAGTTGTTTTACTGATGCGTTTATTAATAATTTTCTTTAACATAGTGGGTCTGCTTGTTTGAAAAAAATAAAAATAAATTTTAATTGCTTATTATGGCTTTTTAATATGTTTAGGTAAATTTATTCTAAAAAATGAAAGTACATTTTTTTATATATATAATTGTTTAGTATAAAAAGCACATGTCATAAAATAAAGATATTTTGTTTAAAAAGTATATGAAAAGTTATATAAGAATCACTTAAAAATATTTAAGAAACAATAAATTATTTTAAGTATTATTTTGTAAAAGAAATTATCATAATGTAAAATTATATTTTTCGTATTTAGTTGTAAAATATTGTTTTTAAACATGGAATAATAATTAAATAAAGTTTATATTTTTAAAAGATAATTTTTTAAAAATTAAACCAAGAAAAATAACGTAATTGAAAAAAAATGCTATAAAACTAGATAAAATTTAATGATAAGGGAAATATTACGCTCCTTGGTATTTTGTTAGATTTTTTTTTTGAGTTGGAATTTGTTATAATTATTAAGTGCGTAGAATAGTTAGAAGATTTTATTCTAGTTCAATTTAAAGTCTTCGAATTTGAGTTTTAAAGATTCAAATGAATATTGCTATAAACTTTTTCTTAGAAAAAACAAAAGAAAAAAATTAATTTTTTTTATAAATAAAAAATAATTTGAGTTTAATTTGTAAAAGTCCATGCAAATAAGTTTTTATTTTTCATTTTTAATTTGTAGATAACTTAATTTAAGCTTAGAGGAAAATTGATTTTAGTTTTTTTATCTTTTTCATCTTAAAAAAAGTTTACGTAGACGCTCGTCCAAAAAGTATACAATATATACACAATTTAAAATAAAACCATCAAAATTATATAAATCACAATAATTTTATTCAACTAAAGTAAATTATCTCTTATAAAATAACGCATAGTTTGTGTCAAAAGTTTATCATAAATCACAGAAATTGTCATCATTTTTTGTTTTTTTTAAGTAATAAATATGATTTTACAAAATTATAAATTTTAATTAATAATAAAATATATTTATCATCATTCTTCCTTTAATTAAGTTTATAAACGTGTAATTCGAAAGAAAAACTAAGCAAAGGCTATTTAAAAAAAATGGTGTAAAATATTTTTTAAAATTGTATCATCACTAATCTAGCTATGGTTTTTAAAGCATGTGATTTCAGTCTCACTTGATTGGCAAATTAATAGCCATATAAAGGAATAGTTTTACTTTTTATTTTTAATTTTTTTTAAGTGTTTTGGTATTTATGATATTGAGACAAATCATTTAAAAAAAAAATTGAACTAAAAAAAGTATTAGTAATAGTTTTTATAATGCATGATGCACTTTATAAAATTGTCCAAGAACAAATAAAGGTTGGTGGAAGAAAAGGGTACTTCAATCTTCTTTTTCACTTTCATTATATTATCACGTGTTTGTCGCCTTTTTAGGTTGCTTTTTAGTTTTTGGGTTTTTACCTTTTTGCACTTTCTATTATGCTTTTCACATAAATATCATCTAATTTTCATGCTATTCATCATATTAAATATTACAAAGCTCAAGACATAGCCCCATACCACACCAACAAATATCATTCACATGGACCCATTATCACCATCATATCATATAGTAATAATACACATCAAATTTTAGGTGTAATGTCACTCACAACTGGAAAATACCAAACACTATTTTAAACTTGATTGGACTTTTTTCATATTTAACTAACTTTTTTTCATCCAATGCAATGTTTCATGGCAATAAAGTTAAGATATTTTCTCAATTAGAATTCTTTCAATTCGTTAAACCTTGTCCATCATTGCAGCTTTTTTTTTAACATTGATGATTTGACCCTTAAGTGACTGTTTCAAGCTTGACATAAAAGTAATTAAGTATGATTGGGTTAGGCAAAGACAGATACCCGATATATGTGAATAAAAGCCATGAATCTCAACATGAAATAATTAATATATGAGCCAAATTAATGAAATTTGTCTTTTGACAATGGATGTAAATAAATTTTCTAGAATATTTGAAGCAATCATATAACAAAAGTAATGTATACACAAATGATAGAAAGATTTATTGGGCCATGATATCAAACACTTTCACATTTATTTGGCCCTACATATGATGAAAGCCACAGTCAAACATTGAGAGGCTCAGAGTTCAATACTGAAATAGTTATATATACATAACGACAACATAAACAATTGAAATATTAGTGTTTGGTTGTTAAGAGAGATAATTAATTTAAAATGAGTGAGAACATTTCTATAGCTGTTTTGTGATTGAGTGATAATACATAGCTTAATTTTCTCTTAATGTTTTATCACTTTTATGATGTGACTACCAAAGGAATCAAGAACAAAATCATCACCGGGAGTAACATTTTTAGAAGTTAGTTTTCGTGGATGATTCCCTTTTCTTTCTGTACTGCATAAGAGAAAAAAAATTGAAAATGATGATGATTAGGCCAATAAGCAGTAAAATAAAATTGAACCCATGAAAGGGTTGCAGAAGCTTTTAGAAAAGCTGCAATGCAAGGCTAAAACAAAATGAGCACTGCGTAGAAACTACCATAATTTAAGGGTATGCGAGGACAAACAGGCTCTGCCATCCATAAAACTGAAAGACTGAGAAACAAACATTTCAATGAGTTTGATGGTGAAAGGAGTGTAATGCTCCCTGTACAATATTTTGTTCATTTCAGTCAGCACCATGTGACAGCACAGGTGAACCCCCCCTCTTTCTTATTCCCACCTCACATGTGGGCCTTCCACTCCCCAATACCAGACAAATCCTACTTCTTTCCATTTCCAACTTCTCTCTTTCTTTCCCAACTCATCCACGATCATCCGGGACTATATATACTCTATCAGAAAAGGTTAACTAACTGAACTAGGTTAACATGAGTTTTTTTTTCTTGATTATGATTAGTAAGTGGCATAAGTATTCTGTTGTTCTTCTGATTATGGCTAGACCAAAAGGATGCACTAACTTGTAATCTGATATGACTTGAAATAAATTGTATTGTCAATAAAGAAACAGGTATTAAATATTGCATTGTACATGGGAAACAAAACAGACAATGGCCTCTTGTGGTCAATTGTATTAAAGAGTGAAAGCGACTAACAGGAGCAGTGGTTAAATCTTGTACACCATTTAGCTAGCGACCATTAATGGTGAGTGATAGCCAATAATGAAAACTAATTTGTGGTCAGGGGCACAGGTAGCACTCCTCCCAAACCGGGAAATAAGGATAATAGAAGCAGTGGAAAATAGCAACTAAATGGTATCCCAAGTTTTATACATTCAGCTAAAGTAAAACAACAGTACTTTGTTCTGCCTCAGTCTGGTGAAACATACACATCTATAGATAATTTATGTGGAGGGAAATGGGAATACAACAGAAAAGGAAAGGAAGAAAAGAAAAACTAGTCTTATAAACTAATATGTCTGTCCAAGTATGCAACATGTATCGCCTGCTGTTAGTAGTATGTATTGTTCATGGTGGTGATCTCATTTGATTCTTCTCTAGAGGATCTAATCTTCTGATCTAGGTGTATTTGGCTATACATCTAGAAGATTCTTCTATAAGCTTCTATAAATCTGCAAAGAAACAAACCAGCGACCAAAGAAAAATCATTACTAGACCATAAGAAAATCATGAGATGATGTTTACTTGTAAAGAACAAACCATTCTTCCAAGAGAGGGAGAGGGAAACCAAAACTTACCCTAATAAAAATTATCCCCAGCTGGCCACTTCTATTCTTATTACCTAAAATTCGAAATCTTGAGGAACAGAAAGGATCCAGAGAAAAGTGTCAACGTGTCAGAAGAATTTTGTCCACATTTATTATGCTGGGAACTGAAATTCAGAGAGCAATTAGCAGTACCTTGAATTGCAAAGAAAACTACCGTGACACCACGTCACTAGAGGATGTTATTGGCTCTAGCTTGTCACGAGAAGATGAGCTAGATGAAAATACAGTACTCTCGTTGACCTCTGCCAATGTAGAGAAGTCAGCATGATAATCTCCAGCTGCTTTTGTTGGTGAAGCAAAGAGGCTATCAGGAAGGGCCTGCTCCACACTTCTCAAAGGCCAAGAGAGCATCATGAAAGAACACAATATCAGAAAATTTGAAACGAAATCTCAAGGAGACAGATTTAAAATGAGGAACGGCCCCAAAAATGCTGCATCACAATGCAATAGAAATAAGATATAAAACAAAGTATGCCCATACCTATTACTAAGATCCACGTTTTTTGTATTTCCACTATCCTTTATTTTCCCGCTCTCAGAATCATCTAGCTCAACTTCTTTCTGCGGCTGCTGTGGCTGCTCAGATGCAATGCCTAAAGAATTGGTAGAAGTGAAGCTGCCAACATAGCCTGTAATTAAAACAACAACGATGTAAACTGTCTATAACCTTGTTCATTAGAACTATGCCATAAGATACCATCAATTGACTAACCTGCAATATCTCCTTTAATGCTATCAGGCGAAAGACCTACATCATTAATATGACCATGGAGTTGATGGGGCAAGACCAAAGAAGTACCAACAGAAAGACTGCGTTGGTGATGGTGAATAGGATTGTTCTTGAAGTCGGGAAGCTGTAAATTCTTCAGCCTTCTTTCTTGAAGTTCAAGGACTTGTTGCAATTCAGCCTGCTCCTCAATTTTTCTTCTCAACAAGATATCATGTGGACTATACAACATCCTTGCCCCTGCATAAAATAAAGTTGGTAATTATAAAATGAAATGAGAATGAGACTCCTCTGTACAAAATCTTTTTGGAAGGTTTGGGGAATTTAATAGAAAGGGAGAATATATAGGCTTATATATACCAAATCTTTTTACTCTCAAAAAATTAAGTAGAATAAAAATGTCTCTTAAATAAGATAAGAATTGTCCAAGTCTTTAAATAAGAACTATATGTATATCGAGTTGATGCTCAAAACACCCTCTCACCCCTACACTAAACATCTAGTGCGTAGGCAAATGCAAGTGGTCCAATAACAACACCCACTCCCACCCAGGAATAGACATCTAGAGCATACAAAATTACAGGTAAACCAATAACAGGTCTGGAAAAATTCATCATCTTAAAATTTGAGCCAAGGGCACAACTCAATCTAACAAACTAGCTTGTAAGATAAGGATTAACCGAGTTATAAAGATTATATTGGCCCCATACGATCTTAATACATATTCCAATATCTAGAACTGAAGATTTAGAACATAGACAAATAGGATGACCCAGTAATGAATTCATGATAGATCTTATCCTGAAATTTAGACTATGGGACCTAACTTAATCCTACAAATTATCCACAAAGTCTTACAAGCGCTACATTAGCCATTTGATCCATATGTCTAGTTGGTGTCCCGTTTCAACAATGTCAATATCAGAAATTCGATTACCAAGATGGAAATCATAAGGTTCTTTAGAGGCAAATCCAGAAGGGCTCAAACATGGCGAAAGATCTCCCCTCTCTAATTGCTGTTGTTGATGTTGTTGTCTCCTGCATAAATTAATCAAAAGAGTATAAATTAAGGAATAGTAAGATATAAATGAGTCAAAACATGATGCCTACTTACTTGTCAGGGACTTTTCCCTTCTCCTTGTAGGGTTTCACAAGTACCCGTGAATCACAGATAAAATGAGGATTCCCTTTAGATAATATTTGTCTCACTGTCTCTGGATAGACGAAGGTAACAAACCCAAACATCCGCTTTTGCTGATAAGGAATTCTCACATCTTGAACAGGTCCAAATTTGCTACAAAGGAAAGAAGTATCTATTCAATGAGCTCCCTCAATTTCGATCCGAATGTATGTGTGCGTCAATATGTACCAAGACACTTATAACTTACATGCACAGCCACTACTGTTTTATATGTAATTGTAAATAATAACTTATAGCCAGATTAAGGGACACTAGAGATTACAATTCCAATCATTACTAAGAAGTTAGTCCACACCAATACAAAGACACTTAATAAAAAATAATAACAATAATAAACATATATATATATATATATATATATATATATATATCACTGTCTTAAACTGCAGTCTTCTCTGGCCAGTTTCAAACCCTATACTGTACATATGCCTACATATGACCTTCTCTATCATTTTTCAATAACTATATTTCACATAAAAGATATCTAGACTAAATCATAAGTTTTCTCAAAGAAAAGTTACCGTTTAGACCTTAGGATGGTGGTGTGCACCATCAAGTGGATATTATTCAGTTTCATAAAATTACAATAAAACAACTGTATAACTTTAGATCATGATATCAAACCTTTAAATCAATGTCATGTTGAAAAAACCCACTTCTCAAGCTTTCTTTCAAACTAGTATGAAACATTACAATCTAACAAATTATGACACAGATATTTCATTCAATAAAACTAAAATTTAAATTTAATCCTAAAAATAGGAATTACTTCATGTATAGCATCATAACAGACTACACCAACCAAAAATGTAATCTTATAGTTAACAACACATACTAATTAATATTTAGCATGTTCGAAAATTGTTTCATTTCAATATGGATTGACCATTGATGTAGATTATTTCGCTTGACAAACCAATAGTCATTGGTAAGCTGAAAACTGCACAAGTATGTTGATTGAGACAATGCATACACATAATTGCGGTACTGATCATGATTTGTAACAAGTGATCACCAAAAGCTATGAACATCCTTGTTTGCCAAAGCTTCTTAGCAAGAGAAACTGATCCATTTTATCTTTAAGGGAAAACACATTGAAGTGATACCTGAAAATATGGGATTAACCCAGTCTCCTCACGGGAGACATACATCATGCTCTGCAAAAATTATCGCCTATAAAAGACAAACTCTAAATGTTACACATAAAACATATGATTTGAAAGTGAAATTTTAAATTCAGTAAAATCATGACCAATGATTACTGAGTTTAAATTGGGCACTCCAGACTACTGAAGACCCAGGCCGGCAAAAGACTCTTAATCCCCTTGCACACACAAATCAATCAAGGATCACCAATTGCACAAACATAACTCAACCAAAATCCATCTCCTCTGGTACTTCTTACAAAAAAATACTACGGAGCACAAGCAACAATATTCAAGATGTGCACGACAACAAAAATGGTGGAAAACCTGGATTAATTAATAAGAACAACAGAGACCTGACACATTACACGTCTGCACTAATAAGCTAGCCATGATAATGTTTCACAATTTGACATTTTTCTATGGCACGCATTTGTGCATATGTTTTCAGGATATTCTACCTGAAGTACTCCGAGACGTCTTCATCTTTGAATGTACTTTCAGCAGGAAATGTCAAGTAAATCTGTCGCGAGGCAGAGTTGGGTTTATCACCAGAAATTGCCGCTAAAAAGTCATTCCTTTCAGGCCTATCCCAGCCAAAGTTGCAGAGTTCTTCCCCCATCATGAATGCTGCTGCAGCCCTGAAAAGCAACACAAGAATGTACAACAGTTAAACATCACTTTACAGCTAGAAAGGCAAAACAAAAATAAACAAAAACTAGAGAGGGTTCCTTCCAAATTGTGCTAAACCTTTGGGACTCCTGCATCAGAAACTCATAGTACTTCTCACGTGCGGCTGCAGAAGGTCCAGAACTTATTCTTTGAAGCTGTGGGGCCTTGAACCTAGCAAAATCTTCCCGCTGTTGTTCCATACCCTCAAGCTTACTTGGAGAGCCAACAGTGGCATCCAGAGAATCAGTGAAAGCACCATGAAGAAACTTACAATTCGTGCCATTTTTACAAAACCCTCTTGCAAAGTAAAGGCACGGTTTGTATCCAAGTCCAGGGGCAGCTTCTTCACACCCAAAACCAACATCACTTGCCGAGTAACTCCTTCGGTGCAAATGTGAGTCCCCGGAGTGCCAATTTTGAGCACCAACACCCAATTCAAGGCGTGGATCGACCAAATCTTCGTTCTTGGAGGACTCATTGAGGAAGGGAAAGAACTCATTCACCTGCTGCTCGTCAACAAAATCACAATCACCGTTGACACGCGGTGAGAGGGCTCGGATGTTATCATAAGAGAGTAAAGGAGTGGACTTTGGACTAATGGGGTTGGTGTTTGGGAAGTTCCATGCGTGAGAGTGAGAGGAAGGTGAAGATGGGTTTCTAGCAAAGTCAAAACCGTTGGTGGGACCTGCTCTGGAAAACGGGTTGGTGGAGGAACCAGTGAGTCTTGCTATGGGGTTTAAAGGGGAAGGAGGAAGAGAAGGAGAAGAAGGAGTGGAGAGTGCCAGACCCATGTGGGTCTTAACCCTGAGAATGAGAGTGTGGAGCACAGGGTCAGGACTACAAGCCAAGCGAATGAGTTCAGAGTCTTCCAGGTTCATGAGAAGGTAGCCCATGATTTTTGAAGCATTTTCAGGATCAAAATTTTTAATCTTTGAAAGAACCACATTCGTTGCTTCGCATGAACCCATCAGAAATGAAACCTTGAATGCGAGAGAACAAGAAATGAAATGATAGAAGAAGGGTGGTTGATGGTGAAGACTGAAGAAGAAGAACAACAACAAGAACAAGAAGATATTGTAGTTGTTGTTGTTGTTGTTGTCTGTTACCTTAGCAGTAGCAGTAGGTTTAGTCTAAGCACACGTTCAACAACAGACTCACTCTCTCACTCACTCACTCTCTCTCTCTCACTCACTCACTCTCTCCCTGTAATCTCTCTCTCCTATCTTGGGAGGGTGAGAGCGGTAGATTTCTCAGATCCACAACAAGAATGGATGGATAATCGTCAACAACATGAGTTACAATATGCCTCAGGTTTTCTTATTAAAAACAAAAAACAAAATAACTTTTTCATTTATTTACTTCACAGAAATGTTTCTAATAAATACTACTCCAGTTAATAGAATGTTCTGCAGAATAAAAATATTTGTTAAAATTTTGAACAGTTTCATGCACATTACATTAATTTATTTTAAATATTTAAATATATATATATATATATATATATATATATATATATATATATATATACATACATTGAAAGGAGATAGTGAAATAAATTATCCTTTTGAATTTTGATTTAGTTTAGTTTGGAAAATAATAACTACTTTATATTGATTTTAAGAAAGTATTTAAAAAAATATTTCTTAAACAAATATTTTCAAACACAAACTAAAAATATTTTGTCATTTATTTTAAACTTAGAGGGACTTAAAAATAATTCAAATTTGATGGGAATCAATTTTGTATGGTTACATCTAAAATGGAATACAACTTTTGTAATATAAATAGTTATGATTATGCAAATAAGTTTGCAACCAACCTATTTCTTTTGAAATAAGAACATGTCCACTTATTTAATATTAGAGTTCAGGTACATTCCATGATTGAAATTATATAGTTACTTGTTAGTGAGGAGGATTTAAAAGTTGTTTTAATTTTAAGGTACAAGTTACCACCTATATCAACAGTCTAATAGTTAACTTAATATAACACACCTTTTTCTTCTATTTATACAATTTAATTTTTTTATTGTTTTTTTATTTGTTGTTAGTATGCATTTTTGTTCTTCCATGGTATCAATGAATAGTCCGTTAAAAAAAATTGTAGGATAATTTCTTATTTTAAAAATTAAAAGTTAATAACAACATTTCATGGAAAATATAATTAAAATAGAAGATTACATAAACTGATTATGTTTTCTAGTAATATTATTATATTAACTTATTTAAAATAATAATAATAATAATAATAATAATAATAATAATAATAATAATATCAACATCATATAAGTCCATAAAATCCACTGAAATGACAGTGGCAGAGGAAACAACGCACAAATGTTATTTTGTAAAACTGTCGTAAATTTGCTGATGATTTTAGATGAGTGCCACATACAACAAATTCGTGCCAAATATGGCCGAAGTGGCCATTTTTAAATACTCCAAATAATTTTTTATACTTTTAATTTTGTTCTCTTAATTACAAAAAAAAATATAGAAATATATTAATTCTGTAACATAAGATTTATTAAAATAACACAAAATATAATAAAAAATAAAACAACATAAACATATTCTTTCATAAAAAAACATAGAAAAAAATATTTTCTTAAATAATCTAAAACATTTTATCTAATTCTACTTGTTTTAACTTAATTTGTTCATTAACAATAATTTACCAGATATGTTATAAACTATCAAATTAATATGTGAAATATTAATTCCTCTCTAATAATCTTCTATTTTTATATCTAATATGTTATTAAACTTGAGAGTAAAATAAAAAAATTATTAGTTAATATATATGTTATAATAGAGATGTAAAGAGATCCAAATTAATAATAATTACTTGTATAACTTTCTTAATTTAAAGAGTATTTAAAAGACAATAATATCTAAAACTGAATTAATTGTTATCGCAAAAATATTAACTATCAGTCATAAAAATATAAATTATACAATAACAATATAAAATACTATTGTTATGTCCTGTCAATAAAAATTTTAGTAGTTAACAGCATAAAATTGATTTTATATTATTATTATTATTAATACAAGTATCTCACTAACCTAACTCTTCAAAAATACCAACATTTTTTTAAAATATTTATTAAAAATATAATTGTAATATTAAAACATTGATAGTAAATTCTAATAAAGAAAAAATAATTGAACAAATTGATCAAAAAGTTTAAAGTAACTTGGATATAAACTATTTAACAAAAACTCTTCCATAAAAATATTAGTAATGTCTGATCAAATATCAAAATTATTAACTAAATGTAACTTGTAAAATATTTTATTTCTTATTTTTCTAGAATAAAAATCTCTAAAAATTTGTCCACACAAACCTAAATCTACCATACAAAATGTTGCATTGTTAGTCTTATTTTATGATTAGTAAAACATATATAAATATATAAAAATATTCTTTCTTTTCCCGTAGGAGAGTGAGTTGTAATGGGACAAATGATGAAAGGTTAAAATAGTGCCACGTGCATTGGTGCCAAGGAGCATTTAACTATTTATAATTGACAACCTTCACCAAATTACCATTTACCAAGCGCAGGAAGCAAGTCATTGACTAGTGGGTTCAATTAAGGGGTGTGCTTCAATCACACGCTGGTTTATAACTAAACGACAAAGATCCACCAATCCCACCAAACCCAAATTTAGGTGTTTGCATATCTCATTTAACATTATTAAAGCCTTTACACGTAACAAATACCAATCCTCATGTATATGCCCGGACAAGTAAATAAAAAGATATAAGAAAAAGATCCATACATTGAAAAGAAAGAGAGATTTATAGCCAAAAAAAAAAAAAACATTAAGGCACACTTTAACATGTAACAGACACAAGCTGCGAACGGAAAGCGATCCTAGCCGTTCCTCAAATAACATTACATGTAAGAAAAAGCATGTCCAAATCACAATACTACAATGAAACAATTGATTGTTAAACCGCATACACAATGATAAACTAACTTGAGGTTTTATACCATTCGACAAGGGATGTATTAGATGAGAATAGTCAGAGCATCAAATATGTATTTTTCCTGACGGAAGCACAAGTATCAGAAAAATCCTCCACACCCATAGCAATAGGATCAAGCTGCTCGTTTAAAGCACCACACACACATCAACACACACATTTACTGAATTCACTTGTCAATATCTCCTCCGGGGACTCCTGGAGCGACGTTCGCGAGGTGGTCTGCAAAGTAATAAAGTTAAAAACATTCATATGTTAAACAATGAAAAGCTTTAGAATACAAACTCGAGAAAACCTTAACCATGTGACTTAAAAACAATTCAAAGTATACAACAAGATGTCCATATAAGGGGAAAAAACTCAATGTTAGTATCTACTTAACACAACTAAAAAGTGGAAGTTTTCTTTTTCGTATTGTAGTAAACAAGTTGAAAATTCAAAAACAAATTGTTTACACTTTGACCACCATCCAGAAAAATACACCTTTTTTTCATTTTTTTAATCCGTTAGCCAAGGAGAAACTTATAAAATATTCATTTTCATTCCTGCTAAACCCAAGAAAAAGAGAAGATGCATTACAAACTTAAAAAGTGAGTACACATTGGTTAGAATAAATTCGACATTGAGAAACACCAAACCAAACAAAGTAACTCTAAGACCAACACTGCATCCAAATGGGACTTTTGCAAAACAACTAAATTCAATCAAAAGATTTTAATCATTAAACATGTATAATCATACCTAACATTCTTTCTTCTGATTGACTCGTTAATAGGTCCACTGCTGAAGGCCCAGTCAACATAAATGGTTTGGGTGAGAAGCTCAGATCCATTCAAATTCTCTATTGCATTCCGAGCTTCTTCTGCGCGCTCATATTCAATCAGTGCATAACCCTAACATAAAAATACTCAGTCCATAAACCAACATTTTCAAATGATCAAAAGTTGTCAATAACAAAATGTGAAAAAACAAAGCTATAGGAAGCAGGATAGCAAATTTGGCATTCCTAATACAAGTTTTAAAAGAATCAATCAATGCTGTTTGTATAAAAAAGCACAAATGGCAGAAAATCTTGCTAGATAGGAATAAACCCTGCATCATAATATTCTACAGAAAGATCTTTTAATAAAATGGACTAGTAGGGACGGAGGTATACAAGTGTACAATATAATAGAAACAGTGAAGAATAACACTAACCTATACGTGGTTAGAAAGAAATGTATTTTTCTTCCTTCACGTTCTTTCAAACTCAAGACATGAATATGTTGTAAGTACCATGAATTTGTAAAAAATAATGAAGGGGCAGCCAATTCCAAATCATTTTCTATTAGTGAGTATAATCTCGTAAATAACAATTCCCGAAAGTATCAGTTTTGGGCCAATAATTAACCACCAAGAGAGACAAAACTCATGCCAGTATAAGGATAGAACAATGTGGTAAACAAGTTATGGGAATACTAATTTAAAAAAATTAATTAATTCCATATGTATGTACATAAAAGAACACATGGCAGAAAATCTTGCTAAGTCAATTGACCCTGCTTAAAAGAGACTTGTCTTTTTAATTAAATGAACTAGTTAAATGAATGGGACAGAACTAAACAAGGATACAATATAGTAAAAATGGTGAAAAAATGACAATAGCCTAAGCATAGTTAGGAAGAATTGTATCTTTCTTCCTTCACATTCTCTCGAAGAATTATCTATAAATGAAAAACTCATTCAAGACAATTTGTTCCCACTAAAGTACAGTTTTGTGCCAGTAATTATCCACCGAGTGAAACAAAGTTTTCAAAACAGAAATCGTGAGAATGAAAAAAAAAAAAATCAAACTTAAAGAAAAATCACAACATCAAAAGTCAAATGACTCAAATCATGGAAATGGATCAACAATCAGGACACTGACAATACAGAGCCGGATACAAAACAATGACCAGCAAATAGATCAAACATTCATCAATTACCACTAAGTTATAACCATACACATATTTGTCATGATGTCAAGATCGAATATATATAAAGTTATTAGTTGGAACGAAGGCAGTCACGAATTTAAGTAAAAGCAGAGTTAAATTTATCCGTAATAAAGACCGTTCAACCAAAAAAAAAAGGGGGCTTTATATAACCAGATTGTGTCTAGATAGAACCAGATTGTGTCTAGATAGAACGAGTATCCAAGGGATTATCCTAATGACTACAAAGCTCAATAAATCAATAGTAACAAACAAGGAAAAAAAGAGAAGGAATAATGAGCTACTTTGACAAAACCAGTGCGGCGATCGAGGTTCAAATGCAGGTTCTTAATCTCCCCGTATTCACCAAAAGCGTTTTGCAAATCATCCTCCTGCGCTTCCTCGTGCACGCCGGTGACCAGAATGATCCATCCTTCAATGGCTAGAACAAGCAAAAGAAAATATAAATTAAATTAAATATAAAAAAGCAAAACCCTAAGCCTAAGAGGGGGAGAGGGAACCGACATCTCTGAGGGCCAGGGCCGCCCTCGGTGGTGAGAGAGTCGAAGTCAGAGCCAGATAGGCGAGTGGTGCGGTTGGTGTCGGTGTCCTGACGGAACCCACGACCCTTGGTCTTCTTAGGAGCGGAGAGAGAGGAAGCGGCAGCGGTGATGGCGGATTTGAGCTTAGGGTGAGGCGGAGAAGCGTCCGCGTCGGGAGCGCCGTCCTCGTCCATCAAGTCATCGTCCTCAGGCTCGAAATCCAAGGCTTCCCCTTCAGCTGCGCCACCTTGCATCTCCTACCTCTACTTCTTTCTCAAACACTCCAAATAAAATTGAATTCGACAATAGTTGCACAGTTCAGTGTGTGAAAGATAAAGAGTGTGAAAGAAAACCCTTTTATCGCTCCCAACGGTAAATCCTTTGGGGTTTATCTAGGGCAAACCTTTTTCTACAACTTTTTTTTTTTCAATATCTTTCTTAAAAAAAAAATCAATCTTTTTTAATTTATTACAAAAATTTACACAAGAAGATTAGATCCTTAATAAAAAAAATATTTTTAACTATATTTTATTTTAGTCAAGTAATCCTAAATAAATAATAATAAGAATTAAAATTGACTTAATTTTCAGTTAATCTAAATTAGAGATGAAATCTAGAGATATTCGTGGACCATATCAATGATAAAATATCTTTTTATTATATTTTACAAAATTAAAAATTAGTTTTTAGTTTTTTCTTACTTTTGTTTACAAATAAAGATAATAAATAAAATGAAAATGAAAATTACGAGATGTCCTTAAAAAAATGCAAGGCATTTTTAGACCACACCAATTAGTTGAACCTAAGGCATACTCCTTTAAATTTCCATTATAAGTGGACTACAATGACATATTCTTGTTGCTTAATTAAGATTTTATAAAAATCATTATAAAATATATTTAAAAAACACAAAATATATTTAACATTTTATACATAGAGTGATAAAAATATTAATTAATTAAAATTGAGAATAAATAATAATGCTCGGACTAATTATATTCATACAGTGTATAAATAATATAAAAAAATATATTTTTTTAGTGACACAATTTTATATTTTTGACAATATATTTTAAAAATAAAATTAAATATATTATTGTGATATATATATATATATATATATATATATATATATATAAGCACATTAAAGTTTATAAAATATTAAGATGACATTTAATATTATTAAATAATATCTATATAAATATATAGAATAAATTGTACAAATATTTATTAAAAATTCCTCAAATTATACTTACATTTTTTTTTCATTAGAATGATTTCTCTTAATAAAATGATTTTTGTAATCATTAAAATGATTTATCTTAGGATATTTAAAATCAATTAAGAAATATTATTCAAAATATAACATATTTTAAAAATGAAAAACTTATAACCTACAAAATCTGATAAATCAATACATTAGTGGAAGTAGGACATGATTTAAATGTTAGGATCGAACACTTATGTTACATGTACGAGGAATTCCACAATTTGCATGTAATCTTGACTTTGATATTAATTGTTAAGATCAAACTTTTACCAATGGACAAAAAACTATAACTATTAGTTAGAGTGTAACTCTTTTTACTTAGGAGTAATAATCCAAACGTCACGATTTGTGACTCGACCACTCGGTCTCCACCACAAAACAATTGATGCTACTCGCAATATTAAATGATTGATTATTTTTTTTATTACCATTCAATAATGATTGTCTACCAAACCCTTATTTTTAAAGATAATAATTATAATTTTATAAAACAATATTCAATGAAACATATATATGAAATTAATATATAATTTTTTATATTTAAAAATTAAAATATATTTAAATTTTATGAAATAAATTTTTTGAAAAGGTATTTTTTTTAATGTCTTTTAGATCCAACAAAAATATCTGGACTAGACAAACTTTTTTTCTTCATCATAATATCACTCCGAACTACCCAATTATTTAAACTTTGTTTTGAATATTTTTTAATAAATATAGTATTTTTACTATAAATTGAAATAGATAAAAAAGATAATTTAATAAAAAATAAAAATATTTTTGTCAATAAAATATATATAATTTGAAAAAAAACTTTATCTTTAACATCAAAATAACTAAATTTAAATTAATAATAATGATAATAAAATAACTTAATAATATTCAGCATAATATAGAGTTGTCATTCAATATTATAAAATTAACTTTTCAATATTATAAAATCAAATATTAAAAGGCTTGTTTTTCATCATCTTTTATAAAGTATTTTTTTAGTTTTCCAGTATCAAAAATAAAAATATTATTTATTAACTATCTTGTTTTGAGAAAATAAGTTTTAAAAATGTTTTTTTATTATTTAAAAATTAAAATTAACAAACAATCTCGCTTATCTGACATTAATTATACATACTATTTCCATCATAATTATATTATATTATTATTTGTTAACAAAATTATTAAAAATCGATTTCTAATTTTTACACCTTTACATATAATATATATTTTAAAGTTATAGAAGTCATTTTTTTCAATTTATCTTTAAAATATTTTTTAATTAAAAATAATAATAAAATTACTTAATAACATTTAGGATAATATGAAATTATCATTCAATATTTAAAAGTTACTCGTTAGAAGGTTCATTTAAAAGATTATTAAAATGACGTAATTTGATTAATAAAATCAAATAAAAGAAAAAGTCTATCACTTAGTTTGATTGTGTTTTAAATCTAATTTTGGGTGGATTACAAATATTTAAAAAATTTCACTGTATATATAAAAATAATTAATTAAAATATTAAATAAAATTAAAAAATAAATTATATTTAAATGTAAATATATATTAATAAATTTAATTTTTATTTTAAATACAATAATTAAAAAATTATTTTGTTGTAAATTTTTTTAATTATTATTATTATTTTTTTTAATAATTTATTAATTTAAAATAATAATTTATTTTAATAATTAAATTGTAAAATAACTAAAATTTAAAAATTTATTATTATATTTATTTTTTAAAATAAATTAATATCTAGTTAAATTAATTTATAATATATATTAAATTAATATTATTTTTATTTTTAAATTAATTATTATTTTATAAAATAGATGGTTAAGAATTAGTATAATATAAAATTATGTAAATTATAATTTAAATATATTAAATTAAAATAAATTTTATTCAATATTGATATTATTTTAAAAATTAAATTTAAAAATTGGACTAAAATTTAATTTATTATTTCAAAATAATAATATTTTAATTTAATCAGAATAAAATAAAAATTTCAAGATAAAATTAATAAAATCGTCGAAATATTTGGATTGAATTAATAAAAAAATAAAATTAAATATTTTAATATAACTTTTTTATAAAAATATGATATATTTTAAATTTTTTATTTTATATTATTACATCAATTTTAAATAATAATTATTTTATCATAATTTTATTTTAATAATTATCCATTTTTTTATTTTTTAATGTATTTTATATTTATAAATTTTATTATAATTTATCATTATTTTTTATGAAAATATTATTAATAATAAATTTATTATATTATAAAAATATTATATTTATAAAATCTTGCTTTATCTTATTCTATTTTTAAACCCTAAACTATTCCACCGATGTGGGATTTAAAAATATTGTTAGATTACAATTTTTTTTCTTACTTAACATAATCATATTCAATAACTACCAAAATAAACATAATTTTTCTTAGGTTTTCAATATTAAAGATTAAAAACATTAGTTGTGAGAAAATAAGTTTTTTTTTTAATTAAAAAAATCAAAATTAATAAAAGATGTTGTTTTTTAGTTAAAAGTTGGGTACAAAGTGTTTGCCATTACACTAAAATTCATAAGAAGGACTCACATTTTATATTTTAACCTCTCGTCCCACCACGATACCACGATTCCGCGACTCGATTCTCCTGGAATCTCGAGGAACTTACTACACACTCGTCCCAATTCAGTCATCGAAATCGAACACGCTGCCTAATACCAAGTAAATAATTTTTAATTTATAATAGTCATTTATTTAGTTTATCTTTAAAAATATATCTTTAATTTTAATAAAAAAGTTTTTATGAATTAAAAAATAAATTAAAATGAATCACACCTTATTTTTTTTTTGTCTTAAAAGAAAAAAGGTATTTTGTTTAGTATACATAAAATTCGTTGTTTTAATTTTTAATTTTTTTAATCAGTGGTTTTTAACAAAATTTTTCTTTAACATATATATATATATATATATATATATATATATAATTTTTCTTTAACAATATGCTAGGTTGTTGTTGGGACATATTATTATAGAACCACCATAGGCGAATTAAAATAATAATGCGTGTAATTTCCGAAAAGAAAATACAAATTTATTAATCTGTATGAACTTTATCTTGTTCTTGGGCATATCATATCATATCACACTCTATCATCACCCTCGTCCCTCTTCTTCTCTTTCTCTTATCTTTGACATGAATACTCTTTCTTCCACGCTCCATAGCGCGTGCCCTCCCCTTCCACGCGCCGCGTCGCCGTGGCCAGCTCCCAAATGCCACGCAAGATTTCATCGCGTCAAGGCTTCCATTGCCGTCGAGCAACAAACTAAGGTTGCTCTCATCAGAATTGGTACCAGAGGAAGGTATTGTTTTTCGCCATTTTCCTTTATCGTAAACCCTTTATTCTGATTGGGGTTCGCCGTATTTTGAAGGGTTGCTATGCAAATGTGTTAACATTGTTTTTGTTTCGCCGTTCACAAATTAACGCTCTATGATGACACTTATTTGTTTTAAAATTATTTTATTTGGGACTAAACTCCTCATTCCATTTGATGAGTTTGTCGTATTATGCCATTGATGAAAGCAAGTGCAATGTCATGGAGTGGATGTGTCCGCGTAATGTGTAGTTTTCTTTTAAAATGAAATACCTCACCGCATTGCAGAAATTTAGATTTTTTGCTGTACTTTGATGCTTATGTTTTCAGAACGAGTATTTTCGTGGGGTTTTTAGAAATTGTGGTAATAGTTCTCACGGGAATTTAACAATAGATATTATTAGAGAGCTTTGAACGCTTCACTCTCTCCAAGGAAAAATCTGTAAAGGATTGACGGAATAATAGATAGATCCAACGTTTGTAATAATCTTGGTAAGGTAGACTTGAGTTGACTTTATACTTATTTAGACACTAAAGATGTTGAGCTTAGAGGGAACAATTATTTGGGGAAATAAAAGCAAGATGTCTGTTATATATGGAAGTTGTTACTCTCTTTTAAACTATTTCTAGACTACTAAGGTTAGAAGTAATTATTTGTGGGAATAAAGCGGGGGAAATCAATCTCTCTTCTCTTCTGCTATGAAATTTTGTGATTATTTGTTAGTGTTATTCTGTTATATCTTGCTGGATAGTCAAGTATACTTCCATTTTTGGTTTAGCAAAGATTTTCAGATTCCTATCATCAAAATTGGGTAATTTTTGTATGTTTTTCATGTGTAGAGCAGTCCACTAGCTCTAGCACAGGCATATGAGACCAGAGACAAACTCATGGCATCACACGCAGAGTTAGCTGAAGAGGGGGCTATTCAGATTGTGATAATTAAGACAACAGGTGACAAGATCCTCACACAACCACTTGCAGACATAGGTGGAAAGGGTTTGTTCACAAAAGAAATAGATGAGGCACTCTTAAATAGTGAAATCGACATTGCTGTCCATTCAATGAAGGATGTTCCCACTTACTTACCTGATAAAACAATTCTACCATGTAACCTTCCGCGAGAGGATGTCAGAGATGCATTTATATCTTTGAGTGCAACTTCGTTAGCTGATCTTCCGCCTGGAAGTGTTATTGGTACTGCCTCACTAAGAAGAAAGTCACAGATACTCCACAGATATCCATCTCTAAATGTAAGTTAGCGATCTTTTTTACTCACTATTATCTAACAGCCTGAAATAAAAAATTGTTGTTTCCTACAATTGTTTTACTAAATTAGCTCGGGCTGATGACTTAAGGACGCATCCCCTGTATAATTAATGACTGCAGGATGTTCTCAAAGTTGTCATTACATACATTAATGTAACAAAATGAAATTATGGTTAATGGGAAGTCATCTAAAGTTTCAATCTTTATTCTTAAGATAAAATAGAAAAGCAAATTGAAAAATGGTCACGTTAGCATTGCATATGGTGAAACCTTATGCATTCTAGTGGAAAAGAGGCATTTTGTGGCTCTCCACATTATTTTAAAAATATAAAGAGTTAATAAAAGTTAAATAATAGAAATGGGGTGGCTTACACTATGCAATTAGGGGTAAGGGTTGTTTAAAGTGTTTAGTTATAGGAATAACAGAGATTTATGGAGGAAGTTCTACGGAGAAAATAGTCCACAAAAATGTGTACACCAAAATTTCATATCCTTTTTATATAATAGTTATATGAAATTACGTAACATGGACTTCTATTCTTTTCTTTCGTAGCATATATTTTATAGTTGATGTCTCATGAATTGTGATTTGTGATAGAATAATGTAATATATGGAAATCATTTATGAATGGTTGAATTTAGTAGATAATAATCATTAGTAAAGCCCATGTTAACACCTTGTTGACATGGACTAACAATTTTGGTTGACTATGAAGTAACAGACTATATGTCATCCTTGTGAGCCTTACTCTAGGGTTATGAGCATTGTCTGTGTCTTATTTAAAATATGGCATCCTTAGAAAGTAGCCTTTATTCTCTTGCCGCTTAAGATGGACATTTTTTTGGCTTTCTTGAAGCATTTCCTTTCTCTGTCCATGTTGTTTAATGGGTATTGTGCTACTTCATTTGTGAAATTTTAATTTTCTAGATCACTTTTAAATTGTTCCGGAATTTTATGTCTCAGGTGCAGGAAAATTTCCGTGGCAATGTCCAAACAAGGTTAAGAAAACTCAGTGATGGGGTTGTTCAAGCTACACTGTTAGCATTAGCCGGGCTCAAACGCTTAAGTATGACAGAAAATGTAACTTCTATCCTATCAATTGATGATATGCTTCCAGCTGTTGCCCAAGGCGCTATTGGAATAGCCTGTAGAAGTAATGACGATAAAATGGTAAGTGATTAAATTTAGTGCACAATCTTATCAGACTAGCTGATTTTTAGAGGTAGGGGAGGTAAATAGTGCCGTTTAAGATCATGTGTGTCTACATCATTAAATACCTAATTGCAACAAATTCATTCTCTAATCATAAAAATATTGATTCGTCTTTGGAATCCGAAACATCTAAACTTAGTTTGATGATAATGCATATTTACGTAGCACCTTGCTTTCTTGGCTCATTTTAGATTCTAAATATTTGTGACTTTTGGTTGAGTGATTTCATCAGGCAGAGTACATTGCTTCGTTGAATCATGAAGAAACAAGACTAGCAGTTGTCTGTGAAAGGGCCTTTCTTCAGACTTTGGATGGGTCTTGCCGAACTCCTATTGCGGGGTACGCTTGCAGAAACGAGGATGGCAATTGTTTGTTTAGGGGATTGGTTGCTTCCCCTGATGGAACCCGCGGTATGAACATGTTGTTATAGATTTATGTTATTTGACTTTGTATAGTTCCTACTTCTTCACAAGTAACTTTTGTCTAAGCTTCCCTGCAATACCGTGTGTGCAGTACTAGAGACATCCAGGGTTGGTCCATATGCTGTTGAAGATATGATTGAGATGGGTAAGGATGCTGGGAAGGAGCTTCTGTCTCGGGCAGGACCTAACTTCTTCAGTAGTTAATTAACACTGGGTACACATCCTCAACTTTCGGTAATTCATTCTTTGTTGACTTTTGTAGCTATAGAGTTGATTAAATGTTGAATCGAGTTTTGGAAAGTGAACATTGTTGTATTTTGAGGATATTAGAATGGCCAATATTTAGGTAGTTTGTATAATTCCCACGATAGTTCCTCAAATTCTCTTACATTCTATATTACTCTGTTATTGCATGGATGCTATTTACAAACCCCTTGTCAAATATTTTATATTGTCAAAAAGGGTGTTTGAGTAATTTCACCAAGTCTTAGGGTTATTTTATCTTGAAAATGTATTTTTATGTTATTACATAAAACTTCCTATTTGTACTAAAAAGTTAAAAATAAAAATTATTTTATTAGAACATACTATTTATAATGTAAAAAACACAGATTTTCAAATAAATAAATATGATTAAAAAACAAAGGAGATTTAAAATAAATCAATGCATAACTAAATGAGCTAGACCCTTTGATACGCATGTGATTGAAAATTCCTTAAAAAGTATAATCATTTTACATAATATATATTAAAGGGTAAAATTATATATTAACCATAATAATAAAATAAAAAGTGAAATTGAAGTTTTTAAAATAGGACAATATTTAAAACTGATGAATGTTGTGTTTCCGATTGACATTAGAGTATAATGTCGACAAATAATGTTATATGTTTATTTTATGAATTATTAATCGCTAAAAATACCAAAAATATTGAAATACTTGAATCGGCATTTAAAGAAAACATAGCCTGAAAGAGCAGATGGTGTTATCCGAATCAACTCACCCAATCCCATTTGAAATCTCAATCAAAATGCTTCTCTAGGTCATCATTGTCACAAGGTACGTTGATACCCAATTCAACCCCAACAACTACAAATTAATATATTTAATCGTTTAATAAGAAAAGTGATTGTGAAATAAGTTTTTCCAATTTTTTTACCTTCAGATCTCATGGATATTCTTGAAATAAAATAATGATTTTAGTTTTTGTATATTCTTAAAATAAGGACGATTTTATCTTTAATCTTATATTTTATTTTGACAGCACAATAAATAAAATCATATTCATTTTAAAATAACAATAATAATAATAATAATAATAATAATAATAATAATAATAATAATAATAATAATAATTATTGTTATTTTTAAAACACAAACACTAAACTATTCCTGTGTTTATTTTTTTATACAATTAATTTCTAAAATATTATTTTAAACTTTATTTTATTTTTTCTTTTTATTATTTAAATATATCTATTCTTTTACTAAGTACATATTATATTTTTTTCTCTAATATTTTTTACTTTTTTCTCTTTCTCATTTTTACTATTTAAAAAAAATATAAATCATAATAATTAGTTTTTCTTTAAACTATAGTACTTCTATTTTTCTGTAAAAAAATTCCTTTATATTTATAATAATAATAATACAATTAACGAATCAATCAACCATTAAAATGAGCTTTAGTCAAATTTTATAAGACGTGAAACACATTTTATTCTACATTTACTCATATATATATATATATATATATATATATATATATATATATATATATATACCATAATAATAATATAAATTATTTATAAAATAAATTTAATATAGTTGAAATAAATATTTTTCTTTCACCTTCTTCTTCAAGTTTCCCTTTTTTATTCTTCATTTAATCAGTAAAAAAGCTAAAATTAATTACTTTTCCTACAATTTCCACATTAAAATAAAATCTTAACATTCTATAAATATGATGGTTTAAGTTATATTTACCTAAACTTATAAACAATAACGGTTTAGATTAATTTCAAATGAATAAATGGAACCTTTTTCCCCCTTAATTTAATGTTAACTATTTAACATAAATGAATAGTAAAGCTAATAAAAAAATAAAACTTAAAAACTGGTATAAATTATTTAAAATTATCGCACCATTTTATAAAATATTAAAATTAAAGATGCACTGAAACTTGTATAATTTTAAACTTTTTAAAATTATTACTTTTAATTGAATACAAAAATATTTTTTAAATTTATAAACATACGTAATACAAAACCTTCAATTAAATAAAAACTTGAAACATCGAAGTTTAAACAAAAATCTGAAAAAAATAAGAGAAGACTGAAATCTGAATCAATATGAAAGAATAAAGCATTTTGAAAAGATGAAATAAAAAAGAAAAAGAAAATTGGTGTCCACTGGTTTGAAATTCTGATGTAACCCTCTGCTGCAGGAATCAAACTCTAGCGGTTTTTTTTTTTTTTTTCAGTGGAATCTAACAATTCAGTCTTTGTCGTCTTCTGTAAGTTTCCATATATCACCACCAAATATTTGATTGAGATCGATAACGATTCTGTGATGATCAACCAGCACGTTTTTTTTTTTCAATATAAGTGAATTATCATTGTATATAGCATTATACTTTACTGTCATTCAATATAATTATTGTGAAATTTTGTGGCTGAGTAGAAGAACAGAGAAAATTCTTGTACTGATTTAATGTAGAGGCGTAGTGAATGGTACTGTGTTCCATGTCATTTTCTTGGCGAATTGGTTGAAAAGAAAATTGGTGGCATGTGAGCTCAGCTGGCATTTTTCAGTGGCTTTAAGAAAAACCCTTCTGATTTTCTGATATGATATTTTGATCTTTATGTTGATGGAGTCCAAAAGTAGAATAGGAGAGGAGACTATTTTTAGGATAGGCATGTCATGAGATGAAACCAATTGCTGGAAGCACAACCACTGATCATAGTGTTCATAAAGTAGCCTGTGAGTCATACAAACTTTTGGTCCGAATCAAGAATCTTCTTAACAAATGTTTTACCACTGTTCTTCATAGTGATGCACGTAATCCAAGATATTCATAAAAATATAAATGGCACAAACTTTGAAGGTATTATTAGAGTATTTCATATGCTTGTGTTGGTTAAAAGAGTCTCTTGTGTATATTTTCAGTTGATTGAATTCTAGAAATAAAGAGGGTGTCTTAGTTCAAATTTTGATAGCAAAGATATTGATGGACCTGAATATTTTTTTGCAGTAGTGGCACTAGGTCTTTCCACTTCCTCAGTCTTCTTATATTCTCTTCGTTTCTTCATCATCTCTTTTCCTTCTTATTTATTTTTGTTTTTAAGATTCTATGGCTAGAGAGGCTAGAAAGGTAGAATGAGGTCTAACTTGGTTAATTAACAGCAAAAAGAGAAAAATTATGTATATTGATTCCATATTTTATCCTTTAGATTAATTTAGTAGATATGATTTATTTTGAAGTTTGATATTTTTATTTTTTAAAGAGTGTCCCAATAAATTAAAATTATTCTTAATCTCGATTTTAGCAAGAGATTTTTTAACATTATTAAAAAGCAATAATTTAAGATTATAGTTATAAAATTAAAATAGCATGTATAAGCAAAAAGCTGATATTTTTAAAAAGGAGCTAGTAATGACAGCATCTGGTGAAAGACACTTGCACTACTTGTGTAATTTGATATCAATAATAACTTCGAAAGCTGAGAAACTGAGACCATGTATGTTGTGCTGCTATCTAGTGGTGACTGTAGAGGTAGAAGTATTTAGATTCTACGAATCAGTAGTCGCTGCTACCACTTTCCATACGGTACATAATCCATGTTGGTAGCAGTATAGTACTAGTATGGTCTAATCATTAACAAACCTTCCCTTTCTCTTCTTCTCCTTATGGTGACCTCTCAATTCACGTCCCAAATAATAAATTCTCTTGGTCTTGGGGACCATGACAACAGTACTTTCCATGAAGTTTGGTCATTAGCAGATGATAATGATATTCCAAGCTTTTGAACGCATGGTCCATATGGGGTACAGGTACTTCAAAAAGAACCGAACTTGTCCTTAGAGCAACTCATAATCAAGTCTTCATATTTTTAGACCTTCGATTTATCTTTGCTCTTTGTCTGGCTTCGCCTCCAATGACAACATCACCATGTCAATATTCCACTTGATATATGCCATCTGGGCACTCTTGTCTTTCATCTGCTTCTTTATAGTTCTTGGTTGTGCTTCATGGTGCCCATATCAAATTTTCCAACAAAGCAATCAACGATTTGAGCAGAAAACTGATAAGTTTTGGGTGTTCAGTGAACAAACTGAAAGATGGGTTGAGGCAAAACTGCCCTATGATCTGCTATCTTGTGTTAACGGTGACTGTAGAAAAGTGGGGTCAATACTTCAGAAGAAGAAGAAGACCACACAGGAAGTGTTGGAGCTGGAAGTCAAACTTGATGAACAAAAGGTAAGTGATGAAAACAAGGATAGTAACATGGGAGCAAAGGATGTGGTTCTGCCCCAGAGAAAGAGAATTTCGTTGACTAAAATATCCGAGACATCTGTGTGGGTCACTGGTGAAAGTGGGTCTATGTATGAGAGGTTTTGGAATGGAATGGAATGGGTAATTGTGTCTCATGACTTGCCTGTATCAGCAGGAAGTGCCATATCTGTTTTTGTCATCAATCAGACGATTCTTGCTCTATCAGAAGCAGGGAAATTATATCAGGTTAAAAGCATCCGCTAAGTTAGAAGATATATGCCATGCATCATATGTTAAATGCTCACATGAATTGTAGAACTTCATTTCTTTCCTTATCTTTCATGAATTGAAGTGTGTTCAATGAAACCTTAAATGCTGACATACTAAGCATTAGGCATATCAATTCTCTTATGAGAAATTATTGCTCAGTGAGGAACTATGTGGTCTTGGCCAATCTCGTAACTGCAGTTTGTAATTTATGAAAAAAAGTTAGTAGTTTGTCACATGAAGATTTAGCTCATATCCGTGTCTTCAGACCATGTAATAATTTCTCCTTTTTCAGATACATGTTACACATGCATGTAATAATACCATGCAATTTAATATAACAACTTTATGCATAGCTGGTCACGTAATCTAGGCACTGACACATACAGTGACTGTTATGTTAAGATTCGACTCTTGGATAAATATTACAATGTAAACT